TAGGAACTAAAACAGTATTATTATATTGTATTACTTGTATACTTCTCATGAGATTTATTGTGATGTAAGGTGCTTTACTCTGGTTAGAGTGTATAGTAGATATGATGAAAAATAACTGAGAACTGCAGAATGTATTTTACTGCAGTTCTTTGTTCAATAGATTGATGAAGTATTCAGGCGCGAATGACAGGTATCAAACGGCATAAGTCAGCGCAGACAACATATGTCTACACTCGAATACTAACAACAAGATTTCGCAACCGGACTTTTATAGCCTAACATACAGAGAAGTCAATTTTAGGGTTTCTTTATACGTTTGCATTTCTCTCTATGTAAAATTTGCAAATGTTTGTGTACGAACATATTGCCATTTAAAAACTTTTGTAACAGAACTCTTCTCTTTTTATGATAGTAAGTACGAAACAAACAAATATCTACACATATTTTAATGACACATCTACTTTTATTAATTATTTCGATATGAACACACTATGTAAATTTGTTTTTTTTTCTTTCTTCAACTGTTTAAAATTTTAAAAATATTCTTTAACTGCTTGCAAAACTATTATTATGTAATATTCTTTTCTGCGTGCAAGCGAAACGAAACAACTCCAACTCGCATACTCCAAGGGTTAACTGTTTCAATTTATTGGCTGTTGTACTTGAACAACAAAATATTAAGTAAAATTTATTCATCTTTTAAATACTTGATTGCTTTATTATTTTAATGTTCATACTTGTCTTTCAGCATTCAAACTTAAAATACATTTCAAACTGAAGGTATTCTAATACTTGATTCGAGACAAAAAGGCTTTGATTCACAAAACGACGGTCTTAGACAATGATTCCAATGTAGCAGGTAAGAATACCTTAACGTACGGTCACTTATTTGAATGTCTAATGATACGTGATGATACGTGTATAAACAAGTAGACAAAGTGTTCAGTTGTAGAGACATTAGGATTTTGGGGAAGCAGGAAAGATTAAAAATGAGAACCACCTTCTTCGGGAATCGGACCACGGACCTCTGGAATACGCGCCGAGCGTGCAGACCACCACACCACGAAGGCATTCTAAGAAGGTGGGAGAAATGCCTTATACAATTACTAAAAAAATACAAATATTTCTAAGAGGTATTTTACAGTTTATGAAAGCAAAACTTTTAATTTCGCATAAACTTGATCATGAAAGCCCGCACTTGCTTAAGACGTTTGAATACCATTTTTATTGGAAACAAAATAAAATATTAATTATATTTCACTATCAGCGATGAGTGATCTCAGAGTTAGAATAGGTGTGCCACTTTGATCAGTTCAGTTTGATTAAAATGCTAGTGCGTGTCTGTAATCTGAACCCCTTTCCGTTTCTCTTAACTATTCTAATAAGTTTACGCTTTGCATATTCTCCTTCTCCTCAGCAGAAAAAAAAAATTTCAACGGGTTTCCTCATATTCCCACTCAACGAATGTCTGAAGTTCTTCCGTGTGAATATGTTAATAAGAAATGCATTTTATTCATCATTCCTTTGTTCTTTGTCTTTGTTTATGCAAAGATGCATTTTTTTGTGTTTACGCACTGACAAAAAAGAAAATTAAATAAATTTAGCTCATAGTTTTTAAGGTTTGTGTGGGATGGTATTTGATTGCCATTCCGTAACGACTGCATCCTGGACTAAATTCTTTATTCGTGACATTTTTGGTCTCCATAAGCATTCATTATTCCGAACTTACTCGTATGTCGAGCAAGCGTTCCTTATGCGAGAAACCACTGAATAGAAACACATACTCACAATGAATAATTACAATAAATTGCATTCGTAGTGAATAACGTTTAATTAAATAAAAGTTACATAGCACATACCAGCGCAATTTCTGAACTTTTTTATAAGTACTATAAGCACCCTCATAACCGGCCACGGTTTGATAGCTTCCGGGTTTAAATGGCCGCTTAGCTGAAGAGGTGACTTTCACACTGCAGTGTGATTCAATAGGCGTCTATCGCAACGTGGTCTTTAGCCAGTACATTTTTATTAAATACTTCATTAAGTTGAACAGTGTCGTACTATTCTATGGACATTCTTAGTGCACTCTGCGCACGGTGTGCAAAGTTATTTTTGCACTGTTATTGTAATTTAAATCGAGGAATTAAATATTTCGTTCTCAAAATCAGCCAAAATCGAAAGCATAATGTTGTAACGATGATAGAAAATTAAAAGGCTTACTGTAATAGACTAAAAGACTACTTTCTAACACTTACGTTTTGAAAAAAGTGAACCAGAAAACAAAGATAAATTCCGTGCACGAAAGATTACACTGAACAACTGGCGTTAGATTCTTAAATTGTTTCAACAGTTTTGTATACAAGTAAAGGCTGAGAAAACGCTTTAAACATGTTTTATGCTTCGAAAACGTATAAGCGATTTGATTGATGACGCTTAATGGTTAAGCTTCAGAAAAAATATCAGGAGGTCCCCCATTCGCGATATTTACACTATGTTCTCATAAACTAGTCTAGTTTATAAGAGTAGGCATTTATGTTACATAAAATCTTGAAGAGGGAAATGATTTTCATAACGTGACAAATACCGAGGAAAGAACTCTTCGGAGATTATTTAATACATATTTGTGATGAAACTCTGTCTGAATATCCAATAGCGGTGAAAGAGTTTAAAAATAATTCAAGACTGCGTTGTTAGATATATCCATAGTAAGTGAACAATATTGATGAAACAACTATAAACTTTAAAAAAATGTTGCTGCTCTGAAAATTTCGGTTCCTGAGTCAAACGAAATCAAGAACAGGAGTACATTTATTTCCAACGCTCACAAAAAGACAACAGGAAATCAAAGAAAATATCATGCTTTTCTATCAAACATTTCTACCAGTGCCCCACAGGGCATAGAAATAGGCTTGGAACAAGAATACTTTTTTATATAACAGTTTACGAGTGAGTTTGTACGTCAAGAGAAACAAAAACGTTGCGCATGTTGAAAATGCCAAGAAAAGCAGTATTAGTTCTTGACAACACATAATGTAATCTATACAAACTAGAATATGAAAGAAGAGTAAGATACGTATAATAACTTTATATCGATAATATTACAAGGTAGCTGCAACCCATTGAATCGTGTGATATAGAACGGTTTCAAGACGGGCTATAAGCACAAACTGCTCTTAAGAATACTTATACATTGCAGCCTGGAAACAGTGGTGTTATTCTGATCTAAAATCTGTAAGCATTAAGGATGCCATGTACACAGTGGCTGAGATCGATGAAGAAATTCTTCAATCTATATTTGTTAAATATTGAAAAAATAGCTAATGAAGTTGTACATTAATAGGTACCTGCTGATGACAAGTGTAAAATAAATTCTTAAATTTTGATGAAATCAGTCAGCAGTTATATTCGAAGGTGAATACAAAGACGTCTGGAAAAGAATAGAAAACAGAATTAGGTAAGCCGAAGCGGAACCAACACGACAATAGTTGGCAACGTCACATATCGTATGAACAGAAAGAGCTTACTGAAGTTGATACGATATTCATAAAGACGTGCGAGATTCCTCTTTTAAAAAAGGGAGTGATGAAAGAAAGGAAAATTATTAATTTATTCTAGAGCACATTATTTTTTTAATATATATTATTATTGATGTTATTCTAAAAATGCAGTGATTAATTAAATATTTATGTGTTAGTATTTCTGTGACTTATTTTTCTGTTCATCTTGTAAATGATGTGTAGGGTATTCCATTGCATTCGGTTTTAACCAACAATTTCGTAATCCTGTCAAACCCTGGTCCTGTATAACGAAGTAACTTAAGTGTCTGCCAAAGCAAAATAAATCGCTTAAGAGCACTTGTCAATAATATGCATGCGAATGTTATAACAGGAGATTTTTTGTACGTTCGTTTCGTAACTTATATCTGTGTTATGGTCTGGAGAAAATGCTTCGGACAATCGGACAAATGAAAAGAATGACAGAAAACTGGGCTCGAACACTAGGAAACGATATGTGAATTTAAACAACATTGATTTGATAGAAATAAACCTTACAAAGTAACTAAGTTAAGCAAGTTAACAAGAACGATTAAGTTGAGTGTAAGAAGATAGCGTACAAGCGTTTTGCATGAAAGCCATATTAGAAATAAACGAAATTCAATGAATTTCATTTGAATTAGATTTGCACATCGAAAGTTATCTTTAAGTTGTCGAAAATGAATCAAATAACATCTAAAAGAAAGGAATTGTTCTCATATACTGAATCAGTTAAAAAATCGCAGTAGTCTATCTTGATAATGTATATCTTACAACAATACACATTGTAAGATAAGTTAGTGCATATCACATAATTTATGTTACGTGAATTGCAAATTGCTTGACTTGATTACTGTCTTAAAATTCAAGTGGGATTTTACCATGAAATTAAAGTGATGAATAGACAAGTATCTTTTGTGGAACCTTCCCTTGATTCCTAAAAATAGTAGAGTAGTGGAAAGCATCTTTATCGTTTTCAATGCATTCTTATTCGTAAAGGAAGAAACATTATAAACAGTGATAGCATGAAAAGGATAATAATATTATTTCTTATTATTATGATGAATGTTCATTGATTATGATATTTTGAAAATTATATTAGAAATATTTCAAATAATTCAGATTGATAAGAATAATAAATCATACTTTAATTATGCATTGCATATTCGTTTTAAAATTTAATAAAAACAAAGCATTACGTTTTCGTTTTAAATTGTGCTTTCAGAATTTCTTTGAAAACCTATGTTAAAAAAGAGCGAAATTTATTTCTTTCTGAAAGCTTCAAGACCTTTAACTCCGCTTAGAGAAGGAAAAAAATGTATTTTCATGAAAATGGTGATCTTTCGTGGTTGCTACTGTGGTCCAGATGAGGCGTTCAGTGGAGCGAACCGAGCAAAGCACTTTCTATTCATTTTTCGATTTCTGTGGATGTATATATAGCGCGCGATACATAATAAGTGGTATCAGATTCAACTGATTGGAAGAAGTGTTCTGGTTTCCCTTCTTTTGATTACATAATGGTAAGCGAAATAATTAATGATCTTTTAAATAATATATTAAAGAAGCGCGCCTAATATTAGCATAAGGTTTTTTCCGTGCACTATTGGATAAACATTCATTAGAATTCTAAAGGTTTGGGAATGTATCCAGGAGCTATTCGTATTTTGTAAAAGTGTTATATCATCTGGAAATTGAATTATTATATTTTGTACAACAAATTTGATTTTAAAATTTATGCCTCTTCATTTAACCAAACAGCATTGTATGAAGCCAATTTTCTGCCTTTTTATTTTTCTCACGATCATACGCCTATAATTAGCTTATATAAAGCCTATAATTAACTTATACGTAAATAGTATTTCAATAATACTTACAAAGAATATTGTGTTTCCCCATGAGTGCTCTCGTAGCTTTACTAGAAGCCCATCCATCTAGTAGTCGGAAGAAACTTAGTTTGAATCTTTCTGAGAGGAGTCTAGTTGATTTTTCAAAGTTTCTGTATTAGAAACTGTAATATCTCTACTTGCACCCGACTAAAACGTGGTAAATGATAATTCTTCAACCCCTGGATCTGCCGCTTGGATGCCATTCCTCTTTCCCCCGTTATCATTTAAGTGGAGAAGAATATAGGAAATTATTGCCTTTCTCCTTGAATACTCTCGGCATGTAGCGGGCAGCCCATCTGGCGAGCAGTCGGACTATTCATGCTTCGAACTCCATTGAAAGCCACTGATAGGTGATTTCTCCCGTATCCTAAATCGAAAAAGCTCTAATGTCTCTACAATATTTTCGGCCTTTTTCAACAAAATAAATATAATAATAAAAGTCCTAGTGTGAAGTTCTTATGCGTATTCCAATGTTTTCAATGGATATCTGGAAATGGTAATTAAAGGAGTCTTTTATCAAAATCAGATTCTAACTCCACGTTTTTCAAAGTGCTTGTAACAGAAAGCATTTAAAAATATGGTATGTAAAATTTACTAAAGCTGCCATGACATTCATGTGACTGACTGTAAATTTAATACATTCTCACAAAATATTGTTTTTCTTCTTATTTCAGAAGTATACAATTTTGATTTTTGTTGCTATTTGCATTGTGCTTTTATGCACACACTGCAAAAGTGAGGACAGCAAGGGCATAGAAGCTAGACATCATCATCATCACGGACATCATCACGGACATCATCATGGACACCATCATCACCATGGCCATCACCATGGCCATCATCACCATCACGGTCACCACCATGGACATCACCACCATCACGGCCATCATCATCATCATGGGCATCATCATCACCATGGGCATCATCACCATCATGGGCACCACCACGGACATCATCACCACCATGGGCATCACCACGGTCATCATCACCACCATGGGCATCACCACGGTCATCATCACCACCATGGGCACCATCATGGGCATCATCACGGTCATCATCATGGGCACCACCACGGACATCATCACGGCCATCATCACTGAATCATCGGGCTTCAATTAATTACTCTTAATTACATAAATAATGTGCTATAACAGAATAAAACTTTATAAAATCTTTCTGTACATTTACTGGGTAGTAACACTGATCGATTTAATGTAGTTCCGTTCTGGCTTGGTTCTATTAAATACTTTAAAATCCTAGCACTTCCTCAATTTTCTTGTGTAGGTATTTTTTAAAAGAGTATTCATGCAACTAATTCGCTTCAGATATGTAAGGAACACTTTCACGGGAAATACAGCAAATTTATTAAAGTAAAAACGCTATTTGAATTTGAAATATTTTGTTATTTTATTTTCACAGCACGTCTGCTAGAATAACGTTCGCTATTAACTCAGAGAAAAAAAATGAGTACTGCATCATGTAATATTTGGAGAAACATATCTGTGCGTATTAATCTAATGCTGAACATACTTTAGTATTACTACTTAATGGTGTTAAAACTTTTCCTGTAATGTTGGAAACAAAATGAAAATCTTTGTGGCCTGAAGTTTTCCTCGAACTTTGTTTATAAGAACAAACTGAAGCACTATATTCGTTAGTTTATAGTACTTTCTTTTTTATACGTTCTTATACATTCATTTATTGGCAAGGCTTGATGATTTAGGTAATATAGAAATGAAATCTGATTTATGACAACTAATTTTAAAATAAAATTTCATTAACTCAATTTGCTATGACTTTTAGAAATGTATTTTAATTTTAGTCCACATTATTAGCTGAAGCATGATATTTATACTCAATTATTAGGAACTGAAAGTATCAGGAACTAAAAAATTTACAGTAGTATAAATTTTAGAAAATCATACATCTGCAATTCACAAAGTATTATTCGTAGATTATCAGATGCATCTTCTTTAAGTTTATGAATGCACTATGTCATATCGTATGAAATTGAAAATTTTAACAGTTTTATATTCATAAATGTCGGGAATATTTTTTGAGCAATTGATGGTTATCGTTTAAACGTTCAGCTTACGTTTAAACTCGCATAAAACCATCCGGATACCGAGATATCGAAAGAAAAGTAATTTCCCCTTATCTTTCAACTATTTGAAAAAAGACTAACGTAAATAGTATAATGAATTTATCTGCAATAAGATAATTTACCTCATAATTGCAGTCAAAAACGGAGCTTTCAGATTACATTTTATGATATTCTGCAACGATAATAATTCACTTCTGCCTTATGGCACATAATGAGCTTTTAATTTGACTAAAGTCACATTTTTCACTCTTGCACGATTGCAAAGTAATTCGTTCTGCTTGAAATAATTTTCAAAACACAATTTATATTTTCACTTTTAAATTCGAGTAATCTCTGTGCAAGTGAGCTTAGCTGAATGTTTACATAAAACTAAGGGAATAAATTCTGAAATGGGATGCAAAATTGTTAAGTGAGTAAATTTAATGTCAGTATCTATATTACAATTACACAGTATGTAAGTTGATTAATGATTTAGCAATATATGAGTAACTTCTCGTTTAAAACCATATAATATATTTACGTTGAAGGCAAAGTTCAAGGAGAATACAGAAACTTGGCAAAATATAGGTGGAATATATTCAATCTGGAATTCGAAATTGTTTGAATTTTCCAATACTTTATATTAATATCGTAATTAAAGCAGTGTTCTAAAACAGAAGCTTGAGGTTTGACTTAAATAATATCTCAATAATGTATTAACACGTACTATTATCTTAATAAAACTTCAGAGACAAATTACTTGGTTATAAAGGCTGCATGTAAGGAATTTTAAAAAAATGTAAGCCATAAAGTGGTACACAAATTCAGCTCAAATTCACCGATCAATGAACACTTGCTGTGCTTTTGCTTATAGCAAATTTACTTGTAAGCATTTAATTATCAACGCTTGCAGAGCAAGATCTTTTTCAGAACTTTTATAGAAAAATTTAAGTGCTTCTTTTAATCCCCAAAGTTAAAAGAAGTAGAATACATGCAATTGCAAACTGCTTTTCAACTATGATGTAACACATTTTGCATGGCACTTATTTAAGAATTTATACAAATAACACTTTTCCTTTGGCATTTTTCATAATTAAGTATATCACTGCATAGAAAACAGAGAAAAAAATGTTGCGAATTATTTCATAATATATTTTGTCTAGCGAAAGAGCTGTTACTTTGCATATATTGCTTCGTTTAATGCTGAAGGAGATTCAGCTCCTCTCTGAAAGGCAAACAGAAATTTTTCTTATTTTGATCTGCATTGAAATTAAAGTAAGTGGTACTTGGTATTTTGCGACAAAACCTGTCTTTTTAAAACTGCATTTGGTTTAGCAACAGATCCTTTCACTGGTTAATGTAGTCATTTCTTTGCTATCGTTTGCTGTTTGTTCCAAATTGAAAAAGAAAATACTGTGTTATCACATTTTTGCTTTCTATAAAAATAGTTTACTATTTACGTGACTCGTAATTATTCCATGAGGATGCTCATTTTAACAGTTCGTTTCAACTATGCATGCCTGAGTTGCTGACTTTATATAACATAATTTATTTTAGGTTGTAAGATATTTATTTTGAAATTCAGCGGTATATGTTTATGCTAATCTGGTTATTCGTTTTCCTGTAAGAAGTCATATTTTGATCAAAATGAGCTACAAATTTCTAAAAGAAAACTCAAAGGAGTGCTTCAAATTTATTACGCTGGAAATCGTGGTATAAAGTAGGGAATTCAACAAGTAAACAGCATTTATGGTTCGAAAGCAGGTAATGCATGTACCTGAAACATATTAATGTCTTACTTACAGAGAGTTGAATCTCTCTTAGAAAGGAAAATGGAGAATAAATATATATATAACATCTAGACAAATTAGATACAAAATAAAATATTAATGTGACCTTAGAATATAAGACTTTTGATTATAACGGTGAAAGATACTTCTCCATCTGCTCTGTAAAAAGTAAGAAAGCAAACAAGGGAGTAAATATTATAAATTTAGCAGTTTTATAGAAATTATAAAGAATTAAATTTCTGCATTATTTAAGGAACATTTCATGAGACTAATAACTAAAAATTACGGATCAAGCAAAAGCGTATTAAACACATTTCTTCTAATATTAAGAAGCGAATTACCTTTAATTAATTTATTAGGAATCTTAAAATAATATAAAATGTACAAACTGGTTACAAAAATTTGCACTAAATAATATATATTAAAAAGTGCAAAAGTAAATGTTTTCTAATGACTGTAAATTAATGGATGCCGTTACCTATGCAGATTAATCATCTTTTGCAAATACTGTTAGGTACATTTTCTGGAATCTCCGAGGTAAATTTTAAGATGGAAATTATTTACAAGCAGAAAAATTTAACATGATTTGACTTTTAATTTCATTTCCTATTGGTTGGATTAAGGGAAATTTAAAGCATTCAATTTTCCTTTTATTTCATATATTTATTTATAATAGCTTCCGTAAAATAAACAAAGCTATGTGTTTATTGCTCATGCTTTGTTAAACTTTTGTAATATTATGCTAAATGATCCGTCTTTGCTTTTCCTGTAGAAACAAATGTAGCATTTTTGTCATAAGATATTTTATGTTGATTTAGCTACTTATTGCAAGAATTCTGTGTAGTTGTAACCCTTCCTATATTGGGAGGAGGAACTGCCTACAGCGGAATACAGCGGAAGAAAGCTAGTCTTGATTCTAGAGTCAAAAACTTGATATACACAGATAATAACAATACTTGCTGTTGGCGTATTCTTTAGTAGTCAAAACATAAGTGTGTTACCAAATTGCTTAAAATCTTTACCATTACTATACCTTATTCGGGATTTAACTCCTAACCATCTGTGAAACAGCTAGCGTAGCAAACCACTAAATCGATACAACCACTACAGATACAAACATCCATGCCTGATCCTGGATTCAAACCCATGCCCAAAAGAGTGTGGAATTAGGTTTCATTAATCTCCGTAGCATCCGAGACAGCAGGATAATTGGGGGGAGGAATTAATTGCTACTTAAGAACAAACTATTAAAAATTCTTAAAAAATAGCTGCATCATATGGGATGTCGAAAGGAAAATTAAATTTTGTTATTATCACTGAATAAATAATCCTGTGTGAAGGGTTAAGAGTTACGGGCAGTGAAATAACTAAAATTTCGGGAAGACACTTTTGTTTTCAACATTTTTCAAAACTCTTATATTTTCCATCGTTACTGATTGCTAATTGACCTTACTCATTACTATAACAGCTTCATTATCTAACATCAAAATAAATGCTAGGATATTACAGTGAAATTCTAAATAAAAATTTAGCTTATACGTTTTCTGCAGTTGCCAAAACGAGAGTACGAAAAATGTCTATACTTTTCATAACTCCTTAAAAATTCTATTATAACATCATAAGATTCCATGTGTAAAAATTAAAAATACATTAGAAGCTTCTAAATTAAATGCAAAACATTACCTAACAATTTGTAAAAATGATTTTATTCTTGTATGCATCCATTGTAAAAAATAAAAGATTTATTTTTGGAATCTTAATGCAATTCTAGAAATTTCATCTAAATTAAGAACATAATTTATAAACACTCGTAGGGATTATCCTCTTCGAAATATTTTAATAGGTGATGTTTTTAAAAAGAGTGAGATTCATTTAATTATGTTGCACTGTTTACATCTACCATCTTCCCGCTTTTAAACTCATGAAAGGAATGGTACGAATTTTTTCTTAGATCACTTTTCTCAATATTTTCCCTCTATATGTCTGAGAATTTCACGAGCTGCGAGATTGGTTTGGCCAACAGCAAGAGATAATGACTGCTCGTTCAATTGGATTCTTTCCTTTTCCCCGTGGATGCTGTTTCAATTTTCAGACAGCTCGTTTCTATCGATAAGCTTGATTTGTAGTAAGTCTTTGAATCCTTTGCTGGCATTTAATCTCGCTATCCCTCTTTCTGCGTTCAAGCACTTTTTCACCTGCTTAGTCTGACTTCCGCCATTATAAGAATAATTTTTATAATCATAATGAGCTTTGTTTTAGTAAAGGGAATTGAAAGTAAATGTATTTATTCAACTAAATTTCATAATGGAAAAGAATGACAGTGAAGTTCGTTATGTGCATTGCAAATGAAAAGGTGAAGTTTCATATAATGTAAAATAACTTTACAGCTGCGGTTACTATGAAAGGGCATACTATGGAGTTTAATACTAAATTGACTTCAATATGCGAACCTATAATTTTTGAGTGTTTTAATTCAATATGTTATTAAAGTTTGAATATAATTGAAAAATTATGGTATAGTC